GCTTGCGATCCGTGACCCATTTGTTACGGTACAGCTCCGACATTCGCTTCGAGTCGATCGGAGAAAACACGGAAAACTACAATTGAGAAAGGAGACGTACGCGCTTTGATACATTTCTGCTTTCTAAAACTCGCCTTTGCCCAGCATCTTATGCATTTAATAAGGTTTTCCCTGGTTGCATAATGCTTGAGTGGAGCAGTGCCTTTTTACAGGCAGTGACCGCTTTAGAAGAGTTTGAATTCCAGCATGGGGACAAATAAGTGTTGCAGATAACCGGTTGATTTGGGAATTGCAATGGAAGTAGGAAGGAATTAAGCGCTGCTGAAATGTGCAGCCATTCCGTCAACATCGTCGAAGGGGCCAGCTGAGCTTGAAATATCGACAAGTCAGTTGCACGATTCACTGACGAAGTCGAGCAAGCCCACGACCTACTTGATCAATGTGGACAATGGAGCTGATTATGAGGCATCTGTGCTGAAAAATGTAAAGGGACGTTTACGCTGCGCGAGCGAGCGAACAAGCGATTCTGAACGAAGGCTCATTCGTTTGGCGAATGATAGCGGAGGAGACGTTTACTACCAGTTTACACTCTCAAGGGAGGTTACTGTGGGCAACCCTCTGAAGGGAGGTTACTGTGCAACTTTAGTGTCCTTGCAGTACGAACAAGCGACTGGATTTACTTGTCGGAGTAAAAAGATGAGCGACGAAATTTGGGACTAATTTTTATTGCGTGCTTTCATAACATAAACAAAGCTTCTTGACCAATAAATCGAATTTTGAAAACTGGTCCATGATTTGAAAAATGTAGAATTCATTACTTTTATTGAATTTGATGGTTTTAAATTTTAGTTCTTTGTAAACTTACACTTCACGAATGGAAAGAACTACAGATTCCTTGTATGTCCCATATTGCTGTTAGGTTGCGAAAAGGTTACAATTTCTTTAAAAAATGTGAATTAAAATTTAACAAGACATGTTAATTTACTTACAAACTATTGTATTGAGCGGAAATGTCAGAAAGTTAATATAAATTAAATAAAATTAAATTAATATAATAAAATTAACACTCTCAATAAAACATATAAACTTCATTATTCTAGCCACCGCTTCATCAATATTATTGAAGTGCGTTTTGATAGAAGTGAATATACTATGTCGTACCGCAATGTGTAATACTGAAACACGTTTTTAAAGTTTAATGAAAATAAGTAAATTTACATGTACTTTGTACCGTGTCAAATTTTAAAAATATAAGGAAAATAAGTAAATTTATATGTAGTTTGTACCGTATCTTCTTTTTTCGTGACTTTAAACTTATTTTAAGATTTCATACTTTTTCTATGAAAGTACAAACTGCACACTTTTTTTTTTGGCTCCTACGCCTTCCTGCTCACTGCTATCAATTGCTATTGAAATTAGCGCCATTGGCCAACGTCTTCGCAGGTAGATATGAAAATGTTCCACGCGTCCCGAACCTCTCAGCTCCGAGAGAATGTTTTTGCTCGGCGACCGTATTCGTTTACACGTAACCATGGTGGACATATGGTGTTATTCCCACCGTGCACGGAACGAACATACCGAGGGAACGTTCGTTCGTTCGCTCGCTCGCTCGCTTCCGCCAACCGATCTCGTCTGAACGACACGATTCGCTCGCGTGTTCAGTTTCCACAGGCCGATTGATTGTTTTAGTGATTCTGGGCACGTCAACTACCAGGGTCATTAGTCCCGTAAGTGTATTGCATGTTTTTCCTCGGGAGGTAGCGGTGATCTTTCTCTCGCTGTATGGCGAGATTCGGCGCCGGCCTACCGACGTCTAGCGGAGGTTTCCCCAACCAGATACCTCCCACCAGCGGGGCACCGCCCCAGCCGGGACAAGCTCTAAGCTCCCGACCGGTCTCTTGGCATGTGTAATTTTGTAGTGCGTGTTAGTGTGTGTGTGTGTGTGTGTGTGTGTGAGGTGAGAGAATATGACAAGGAAGAGGTAGGAAAGATCGCGCGCGGTCCGTGGCCTGTTTGGCAGGGTACTGCTCCGGCATTCGTGTGGTGTTGATCGGAGAAACCACGGAAAACTAGCGATTAGAGCAGCCGGCCGCTAGAATTCTCCTCCAGACAGTCCACCGGCCGAGCGAACGAAGAATTGTTCGTTCTGAAGCGTACGCTCGCGTACATTACTAAGAATTGCAAGTACAGACTAATGACGACAAACACGACAAAAGAAGAAACTAGTGGTGTTACAACAGCACATTACTTTTTCGCATTATTGTAACGGCCACGCAATCTTATACATGAACCTACAGAAGGGTTTCCAATAAGCAAAACGTTTTTTTATCCGCGCGGATATTCGAACTCAGATCCATGGAGTTAACTCGCCATGCACTTTACCATTATACCACGCAGTCGCTCGGCAGTATTCACTTTTTCTGACGCTTAAAAACTAATTACCCTAACAAGAAATTATGCAAAAATACTCGTTTTCTCAAAAAATTATAGATAATTTTTTAAAGATCTGAAGTATTAGAACAGATATTATTTAAGACCAAATCTACATTTATTGTACTTTTGTTCATTTTCTGCAAGTTTCCAGAATACAAAAAGTTTGCCGGAAATGGGACCAGCACCAATTTTTACCGACCTTTGATAAACGCGAAAAGAAAATTTAAAGACAAAACCTGTTGTTTTTGAGAAAAAAATTGTTTGAAAATTGCCATATTTCGCGCCAAAGTATTGAATTGAATTGAATTTGCCTTATTTTACGTGGCGAGACTCGGGCCATCAGGCCCGCTCTTCCGTCTGACCACGCAAATTTCGCTACCCTTCTTTCACCAACTAGGAGAGAAAGGAGGTACTTCTTGGGCGAGAAACAGGCGATTTGAATTTAGCTCAGAGGCGTCATTTAGGCTTGAGGATCTTTTACATGCAAGTAAATCTACGAACATGGGACAGCCGGCTTTACTTCCCCTCCGAAGAAAGGCGTACGAAGGATTTTTTTTCGCCCTTAAAAACCCACGGCTTCGATCGGGTTTGAACTCGCCAACTTGGGTACAACAGTCCAGTACGCTAACCGTTACACCATGGCCGCCGCATTATGTGGTGGTTTTTCAAAAAAATGTACCTGACTATTTCAAGATCTGTTCTTGAGCAACAGACCTCATTCACTAAAAATGTATATTTTCAATATTGTAGTTGCAGGAAGATGCTGAATACATTTTGACATTCTGTCTTTCGAAAAATTAGGGATTTTAACGAAATGAAACCATTGTTTTTAGTATCATTTATGCTATCAGAGGACAAAGTTTAATCCAAAAAATTGAAGCCATTTTTTTGGGGGGGGGGAGAAAATTTCAAAAATACCGACGCTTCATGTAAAGTACTCCCCAAAATTAAAATATAATTCAAACTCGTAGGTCCTCGAGTTCGTTCCGATTGATGCGGGAATACCAATTTTGGAGAAAATAGTTTGAATGGTTTTGGTGTCAGCGGGGAGCACAGTCAGGCAGAAGTTTTGCGGTCAATCGATTTTGCGTTATCGCGGACCCACAAAACATGGATGACGATAACACGACGAGGTAGAGGAAGTACCTTGCTACATATAACCGACACTTTTTTCTGTCAATAAATCGTAGTTTTCGGCCCGTGATTGTACCTTATCTTTACTACTTTCGTAGTAAGGTAAAATGTTCAATTAAAATAGCATGCTGGAGTTGCAAGAAAAAATGACAAAAAGTCAAAATCAAGAAAATCCGAATGGCTAAAAATAACCAATTAGAGATTACCTTCAGATGACATATCTTCAGCGTCTATTGTCAATGGTTTATCGTCAGCATTAGCGTCAGCATTAGCGTCAGCACTAGCATCAGCATCGCCATCACTATCACTGACATCTTCGTTTAAGGTTTCTTCAGTTGTATCTTCAGAACCGTGACTTTCATCTCCCAAGGGAGGAGAAACAGATGGTCTTTCCAGTTGCTCATTTTCTGGAACCTGAAGAAAACAATAGAATAAAAATTAAACTTCACTGTACGTAAAATGTACTTCTATTCATCATTCAACTATGCATTTTAAAATCGCGGGGAAGAGATTCTGGACATCAAGAAAAAGTACACAGATTATATTTTCCCCCATACGTCACATAGTTTTTGAACGAACATAAATCAAATCAAATAGGTTTTAATTTCAAATTTAATGCAAGATCCACATTACGTCAATTCACTGAATTTAGTGCAGTTATGTATGCATTATCAGTAATTAACATATCTCAAGAACTCGCTGGTATAACTGACAATGTAAAAGTTTTCAACATTAATGTTTTTGACATTTTTGTATTATTACCACTTAGTTTATGGATTTTGCAAATGAGTAATACAATTCTTGTTTTTTTCCGAAGATCTTTCCAGAAAATAGATTGCCTTAGAAATTGAGATATAAAATAAAAACTGAAAATATGTTTTGAATAATAATAATCGAAGGGAAGTCATTTTTGAGTAAAAACTTGACGTTAATGGATATTCGTTAATATATAATAACGCAACCCCACAGAGGAATGAAAAGGTAATCGAAATGGCAGCCGGCAATTAAGTACCCAAGTGATCTTCAAATTATTTATTAAACTTCGAAAACAGAGGATAAACAACTTAAGTAACATACACAACATAACACCTACAAAAGTAATTTTAAACTGTTCAATTATAGTATTCTTATTTTTAACTTACAATTTCTCATTATAGTAAATCTGAATATTGAAAGAACAACTATTATTCATGTTAATTTCTAGTCGTCGTAAGAGGTCGAAGGTGCTGACGTCGACGTGCTTGAATCTGTTGATGTTGATGCAATCTCCTCGGTGCTGGATAAATGTTTTGAAATTTTAATTAATTTCGATACAGATTGTTCAATAATTTTGTTTACCACTGACGAGGACTCCTAACCCCCAAGTTCTTTCAACGAGAGCAGATTACCACCGTTTACGACTAGCATTGTGGCCGATGATAGTTGAAAACAATGTCCTGCTAATAGCTCAAGAGAGTAATTTTAAAAATACTGTTATCGTTTTTGGAGTGTCTCCTATTGTGTGTATACCCACAACTTGTTTAATTCATTTCCCATTTTTATAATTTCCGAAAGGGCGTCTTGTTTCGAGGTTAGATAGACGTAGGATAGCATATTTTTTATACAAATCATATGCATTGAATGGAAGACAGTTTTTGGCTATTACATTATTTTATTTGGTGCAATTTAGTGTAAATAGCACTCCATCGTGGTTTCTATATAACCAATAGCCCTGGTCAACACACATTTTGGGGGATAAGATATTAAACTTTTTCCTCGGTATTTTGATGTCACTGACAAAAAAATGCATTCGTTTTGCCCTATCCGCTCTGGTTTTGTAAATACAGAATTATCATCATACACCCCATTCCCACACTGTCTGTACAAGAATTTGGGAGCATCAATGGCATGTGGACATAAAATATTCTTTACTGGCGTTAATTTGTTGTGAAATAAAATAAATTTGTTGTTATAAATGATATATATTAAGTAGATAACTGTAAATCACAATTTCTCACCAACATGTTTTGAAAATTCACAAAATTAAGCATTCATTTAGCACCCAGAAAGGATTTTTTAAATAGATTTTTTGGACTGAGAAATGCCATAGCTGTCTTGCAGCATGTTCCAACAATAGTCTGCCATAATGTTTGTATACTATTTTCCTCGGTGTGTTTCTTCCAATGGAGAATATCTTCGTGAAATCCTTACTCATCACTTAGATCACCAAGTGAGGAAAGCAATTGAAGTGGCTATGTAGATATTGAACCTTAATACTCATTGCAGCCAAGCACATGGAAATTGGAAAGCATTGTATCTACCAATTATGACAAGTTTTCTGCTTTATGCTTCTCGATTCAATTTCCTCATGGATTCCTAGAAATTTGAATCATTTGTGAGCTTCCTTATTTGAGTACCATCGAAACTCCTGGAAATGTACGCACGTAACATACACTGGAAGCACAAAGCATCCCCCCCATTGCCTGCAGAAATTGCTTCATTAAGCCTAGCTCCATATGCAAAGGAGGGTGAAAGGAGAATAATATTCTTTCGAGCAACAAAAGGTAAATTGATCACATTGCTTTCCATACAACTATATCTTTCCTCACAGGCCAATATTTTGTCAACAAATGCTCATATTTGGCTCTGCAGTCTCACAGATAGCAGGGATAGTTTGTGTAGCCACTTCGTTGACCAAGAAAAAAATTCACCACCTTCAGATCAACACAAATTATCCACTGATGTTTATAATACTTACTTTTTTATTAAACTAAATAAATTGTCTCGTGCTCTTCTTTCACGCGGAATAAGTGACCAATTGGAACAGCTGCATTTGTTGAGTACACACTTCAAAACTCTCCTTGAGCTGTCAGTGAAAAGTCGGCATTTATCCGACTTATATTCTATAAACCCAAGTTTCTAAAAAGACCTTCCACATCGTTTTAGAACATTATGGTTTCTTGCTTCGCAAAGGAGGCAGCAAATCCTTTCCCCGCTGACAAAAATATGTAATATTTGTCCCAGGTACAAGCAAATTCTATCTCTTTACCGAGAGGCGAGCAATTCAGAGGTGGTTTTGGAGAGATTAAGTTCCCGGACTAGGCCAATGAATTATTTTTGGTAGAAATATTTAGATCTTGATGGAGTACTTAAAAATCACAATAACTATTTTTATTTTTATAATCTTCATATATTGAAGATTTGTCTTTAGTAAGCTCTTAGAAGTGATGGAATGATGGAAGAGAATCGTCACCTGAGTGTGAAATCGGTCTCCTAGCTGTGTCTAGGTCAGAATACATTGATTTGTTACGACTGTTACTGTCAATACAATTGATGTTGGTAAGACAAATATAACAATCATGAATACGATTTTTGGGCTCCCTCCAAACCATCGCCAAAGTTTAAACTTCTTGTACCATTTGTACACTGTCGCAAATGTTCCGTACATATTTTGCATACAACAGAAGCCCACATCTTGATCTCCGGGCTTGAGATCAAAATAAATCAATTATACCCGGTTTATGAACTCAGAAATAGGTTTATGATTTTCCTTGAAAGAGTACTCGTCACATAGCAAAAAACATTTGGACTATTCAAACACTGCATTCTTGAGGGAGCTCCACATATACAGAACTAGTAAGTAAATTGTAGGTTACCTCGAACGTATTTGCGAAAACACTTTAGATGGAAATTAGCGTGCCTTCGATGTAACAGCAGTCATTGCAGGTGTAATAAATTAACTCAAAAACGAAAAGACGCTTAGTGTAGCTCATTGCTTTTTTGTTGATAGAAAGGCAGGCGGAAAGCCTTTGCATAATGACAAAATTTGCGGCAGGTATGAAGACATTACATAAATTGTGATTAACGAATGCGAAGTTGTATTTCTAAATAAATGACTTGATCACTAAAAATTATGTGAAAGAAACAGTGCACATTACTAAAAAGGCGAGGGGAAATCAAATGTGTCGATTTATAATGCAATACTAATGCAATAACTATATATTGTAAACGTCAAGAAGGGTCTTTTGGAGGCGCAAGGAGCGGGACAATAGAGATTGGGAACAAAGACGAACAGCACTTCGACGCGCACCGGCGAGGGCAGGTGCGTGGCCCAGCGGCTGGGAGAAGAGCGAGGGCAGATTAATGGCTATGACGACGAAACGCCAACGTATCGCTGTGGGTGGAAGTGTAGCCTTTCCGCACGTCGCATTTGGCCCACTAATCAAACAGGCCAAACAATAACCAAACGAGACGAGTATTGAAAATTGAAGTGATTGGCGTGAAAAGGAGCACGAAGGCAAGATAGGACTTGCACTCTCTCACGCTTGTCTACAATTTAAGCTAATAGGCCTGAGAGGCGTAGCGGCTTCCGGGCTGCATGTGCGACAGGCCATAAATCGCATTCTCTTAAGAAAACATACGACTCATTTAGTTCCGAGCACGTGCGACTTTCCAGGAAGACGTCAGGGAGCGAACAAAGTCGAATTCGAACTAATCCCGCTCCACCAATTACGAGAAAGATAGACGAGCTCACTGGTAGCGACGCTGATGATTGATGGAAATTAAGAAATAGGCGGGATGATTTTTCCAAAGTCGGAGTGGGGAGAGAAGCAAGGGAGGTATTGGAACTCGATGGGAAAGAGAAGCCAGCAAGGTGCGGTAGGAGTCAGACGCTAGTGACAAGACAGGTCGCGGCTCGGAGAACAACTTCATCCGTCTAACTTTTTTCTTCTTTTTTTTCTTGCAATTTACCGCTCGGCGGACTGAAAACTCCTAAATAAGTCAATAAAGTACCGTAAACTCAGTCTGTCAATTACTGCAACTATGTAGTAAATTCGTTACCACCCTGGCCATGCAAATGCATTGGTTTGACGATTTTTCGATCGTCGTTTGAAGATTTTAAGGATCGCGACCGCTGGTGAAAATTATACCGACCATCAAATATCACGTAAGCAGAGAAACAACTTTTCTCGGAAGGGAGATTGTGAACAAAAGCCGGCGTTGTGCATTGACAAATGGGCGCTACTGGTGATGTAACAGCTTCTGCGAGGGCAGAGACTCCAAGGTGCCAGCTAAGGGACGGGAGACGGCGATTTCCGGCAACATTGAGGTTACAACGGGAAGCTCTGACTGAGAGACGGTTCCAGACAATTCGCCCCTACTTTCTCTTTCTGTGGTGTTGTGTGGCAAACAGGACAGCTACCTGGCGCTGCTGTGACGGAGGAAGAAAACTGGTTATGTGACAAAGACATTTAAACTACTAGTAAAGAAGAAAGAAGGATAAGACGAATTTCTTTGTAAAATTTAGTTAATTTGCATGTTTAAAGTTAGCGCATTGCGATTTTCGGCCTGAATGTATTCAAAATTAATTAATTGATGTAAATAACCTGTTTGTTAAGTTGTCTAATATTTTTATTCAATTACCACAACCAAAA